CAGATGCCCCTAATTAAAATTAGTAAGATTTTTTCTTTTATAATTAATGTAATCTTTTAACAGGATATGCTGTTAAAGACATGTTTTTGTCTTATCTATCATAAATACATGATACTATAGGAAAGAAGATTGCATAAGATAGTCTGAATTATTTTGTGCAAGACAAAAGTTTCTGCATTATCTTCGCCCACAGTGGTTCTTCAGGAAATCTGGAATTGCAAGAACAAGAGTTGGTAAAATAATTTGTCTATGCTACATATTTTAATTTAAATTATAACATTTCAAGTTTGAAATGCTCTTTAAAAAATAGAAATATAATGGTTCCAATAGAAGAGAATATATGTATCAAGAGTCATCTACAATATACAGCATAAGGACTGTAACAGCAACTATGTAGGACAGACAGCCAGAACATGAGCAGAGCGCATCCATGAACACCAACTAGCAGTCAGAAGACATGATGAAAACTCCTTAGTCTCATAACTCATGGACAGACTAACCATAGTTTCAACTAGGAAACTGTAAGCATCCTAGACCAAGCTAAATCCAAAAAAGCTAGAGAATTCCTGGAAGCTTGGCATTCAGACATATCAGCCATCAATAGACACATAGAGATAAACCACATTTACACACGATTCAAAAGACACAATGAAAAAGTGAAGAAGGAAACAAAAAGACCAGAACGCATCCTTTCCAGCAGCCAACACCCCGATAAGCAGGGATTAACACTAGACAAATAATCAAGCAGAAAACAATACTCAAATCAGGGAACTATCAAGGCGAAAACTACACCCCCACCAACACTGATAGGGCAACCTACTGTACATAAACAGGGAGCAAACCCCACGCTCACTAGCACTGATGATATTACCTAGTCAGGTAATGAAACATCTGCAAGCAAACAGCCAAGCTCAGGGAGCACCAAGAACTCCACAGAAATGTAATGCCTCATTGTTGCCACTTTCAGTGCTGCACCAACATAAATAACATTTGAAATTCTGACTATACCATGAATGAATTGTCTTTAGCAGAAGATTTTTCTTTTATTTCTCAGACAGAGCTGATACCTTTTCTAAGTTAATCAATTAAAAATCAAAAGGCACAATTATTTACACTTGCAACAGATGATTCATTTTTAAACTCATTTAGAGCAAAGCATATTTCTAGGAAGTACTAGTCCCTGGGTTAAAAACGCCTGGGTTACAGACCCATAGTTAAGAACAGAGCCTACTTTAGCAAAATTTGAGTTAAATACACAAAGATTTGAGCTAAATACACAATGGTTCAAGTTAATTACACAATACTACTTATACAGTATTACACAATAATACTGTTCTGGCTTACATACATATTTGATTTAGGACAGACCTTGGGAAGGAAACTCATTCTTAAACTTGGGACTACCTGTATGTCCTTAAGAACTCTATTGGATTTGTATCTTAGATAAAGGTACAAGTCCAATTATACTGCTTGATTTGCCTAATCAGACAGCTTTCTACATACTGTTTACAATTAGATATGTATTTCTATAGGTGTTAAATTGAAAGAATGTAAATTCTATGACAAATTCTGTATAGGACAGCAACATTCAAGATACCTTGCCAGGTATTCTTTATTTACAAGAACCTCTACACTGGGAGAAGAAGTTAGAGCAGCACCCTGATTGTTACCAAATTGGAACAATACAGAAATTATGGAATATCTGCAGAAATATGGAAGAGGAATCCATAAAGATTCTAAAACTAAACCAGCCAATTTGGAGAATAACACAGTGGCTAACAGACTGGAAGTCTGTATTCCATTATCAAAGAAAGGAGACTTAACAGAGTAACCAGCTATCTCACAATATCCTTAATTTAATGTGCTAGCATAATACAGTTTAGGATCATCCTAAGCAGCTGAGCCCTACATGGAAAGGGAGATGACATATATTCAAGCTGGTTTTAGAAAAGGCCGAGGAACAAGAGACATTAATGCTGATGCACATTGGATAATTGAGAAAGCCAAAGAGTAAAAAAAAGAAATGTATTCACAGGGCAGGAAGCCACAGTCCAGATGGAACGTGGTGAAACAGACTGACTCCAGGTTGGCAAAGGGTGAGACAAGGCTTTAAACTCTCTCCTTATCTATTCAATTTACATGCTGAGTATATATTGAGGGAGGCTGGATTGGAAGAATATGAGCATGGTTTTAAAACTGGAAGAAGAAACATCAATAATCTGCACAGTGCTGGTGACACTGGTCTGATTGCTGAAAAAGCAAAATGATCTGGAAGCTCTAGTAATGAAAGTCAAGGAGCACAATGAAAAAAATGGGACCAAGACTAAAAAAGACCATACCAGTGACAAGTACAGCAACCACCTTCATTGATAGGATAGTAATGAAGGCCTTGGAAAAGATATTCAGATGCTGTGACATACCTATACCTACAAAGATCAGAATTGGCAGGCAATGATTTTCCCTGTGACATTCTATAGAAGCAGAAGTTGCACTTTGAAGAAGCAGAATAGAAAGAGTATTGATGCATTTGAATTTTGGTGTTGGAGAAGACTCCTGAGAATACCATAGATAGACAAGAAAACAAACAAATGGATCACAAAACAAATTATTCCAGGGTTCTCACTCGAGGCAGAAATGATCAAGCTCAAATTATCATAATTTGGACACATTTTATGAAGACCCAGCTCTCTGGAGAAGTCTACGATGCTGGGGAAGGTGGATGGAAAGAGAAAAAGAGGATGACCAGCAGCAGTGAGAATGGACCTAATACAATGGTGATGAGTGCACCATTGGAAGACCCGAAGGGCCAGTTTGGGGACAGACTATTCTAAAGGTCTGTCTATGTAGTTGCTGAGAGTTGACAGTGACTATCACATAATCAAATGCTACTACAAAAATATGAATAACCTTTCAAGATACCAAGGAATAGATAGAAGAATGACATTTTATATCCTTTTTAAACTGAAGGATTTAAAAGAATTTTGAGTTGCTTCAGGCCATATATTGGCCTAATTTTTGAATGCACTGCAGCCATCTTGAATAGCTCTTATGAATTCAAAAAGTGATTCAGTGTAATATCTAAACCAGTTCCGCCCTATAGTGCCCTCTGTAAGAATACCATGAACAGAGAGGATGGCATCACAAATTCAAATAGCAGCAGAAAATATATTCCAAATCAGAAACTTAAACTATGTTGCATACTTTGTTCATTTCTTATCCGAAACACTATTGGTTTGACTCACTGGGTCAGAGGAATCCATTTTACAGTAATATTTCATTATTTCATTTCATATTTTTCCTACTTTGTTTTTAAGAGTATGCTTCAGATTATACAAGAATTACTGTTCATTCACTAGGTTGAGAATCAGCTACAGCAATGCTTAAGTAAGAACTTCAGACAAATCTTATGGGATCTGACATAAATCAGCAGTATTAGGAAAAAACCTGAAATGCAGCCTACTTTTCTTCTAAATATTGGTTGGGAACACAATCTAAATCAGAAGGAGCCAAGGAGGATTTTTCTGAAAAGAATAATCAAATATAAGCATTTATCTCTTATCAAAACTTCCTTAAAATTAATAATGGTTATGCTATTTTTATAACTCTAAAGTATAATTTAGCATTTTTCTACTAACTAGAAAAATAATGGTATCCAAAAATTTGATCCTTGCTTTATGGCTTTAATCAATTTATTTAGCCAACATATCTTCTGCTATTCTCCCTGCAAGCTAACTCACTTATGGTACGTGTGTGTCTGAACAACCCACCTTACTGAACACAGATGTCATGTGATAGCCAAGGAGAGACTGGAAACTTCAATTTTTACTAGACTAAAGGTTTGAGGTTACAGGACATAGCCTAGAGTCCCATAAGCTTCCAAATTTCAGTGGGACATACTGAACTCTGAAACTGTCAAACAGTATATTATTTTTGGAGAAAGAAGATTATGTGAGTGTGTGAGTGATCTTCACATTTTTAACCCATCCCAAAGGTCTGACTTCCTGCCTTTTCTCCCATGAGGTTTTGAAAATGTTAGCAATAGCAGCATTTTACGAAACATACAGGAAAGGAAATTGGAGAGGTGGATATTACGTCTAATTAACCAAAAAGAAAAAAAATGTTTTTGTGACCTCTTCCGTTTCTTTATTTGTGATTTGTAAGGGTTGTACTTAGCAATAGCAAGTTTTTCTTTTCTTTGGTCTCTTCCATATCTTTGCTGGAAGTCCTTTTTGGAGGGTCTAGGATGGTAAACTAGAACTTTCTCAGGTTATAAAATCTAGAACTATTATATTGATAATTAAACAGCAACAAGAAAAAGAAATGAAAGGAATATATTATCAGGTCCTGTTCATGTTTTATTTTTCAATTTTGTACATTTGTGAAATCGTTCTGAAACCAGGAGAATAGAGTTTAGCATAGCATGTCATTATACAATAGATAATTTGTGCGTTTGTACAAATGGGAAATTTGTCAGCAGTTAAAAAAAAATAACCTGGTCCAGACTTTTTGCAGTTGTGCAAGCTGATGAAATGAGAAACTCGGGTTATGTGTTTCTTTTCACTTTTCTTTAGGCTGACTTCATTTTTAATGAACCAATTAAAATAGAATTGAATATTTATTGTATGCTTTTCCTAGCATTTCCTTAAGTGCTGCGCCAAAGTTTATTGAACTGCACACAAGAATGTGTGAATTGTACGTGAATGTATATAATTATATGAACATAGGTATTTCTTCAAAATACATTTTATGAGATCTTTATGGATAGCGTCCTGAATAGTTATGTGTGTTTGACTTTAGCTTTGAGGAGAATGTGAGTAGCTGAGTTTTATTCGGTATTCTGTAGAAGCTAAGGATGCTTTGAGAAAGCGAGGCACAACTTCAGGCTTACCCCCTCCCTTGCTTCCACTGCTGACCGCTTGAAAAAGCTTTTCGACTGCGTCTGGCGCTTTCCTGGAACTGCTTTTATGTGGCCTGTGTTGCCGCGGGGGTGCTGTTGGGAAACGGACCGGTTTGGCGGAGAAGCGAGGAGTGAGAGACATCCATGGCCGGTGCGAGCGCTGCTCCTTCGGGCCCCAAGCCCGGCGGCCCTCGCCGGCTGAATGTGAACGTGGGCGTCCTAGGCCATATCGACAGCGGCAAGACCGCCTTGGCCCGAGCTCTCAGCACCATCGGCTCCACCGCCGCTTTCGACAGGGCCCCACAGAGCCGAGCTCGGGGCATCACCCTGGACCTGGGCTTCTCTTGTCTCTGCACCGAGCTGCCTCCGCACCTGGGGCCCGAGCCTGGGCTGCTCCAGCTGACCCTGGTGGACTGCCCGGGACACGCCTCCCTTATCCGTACCATTATTGGAGGTAAGAAGTGGAGGCTAGCGAAATTGTTCACAATCGGGTCAGGTTTTAGCCCATTTCTTCCGGTGGTGCCTACTGGCCTCTCTGCCATCTACTTTACTCTCTCCTGTGAGGAGGGATGGAGGCCTTTTCCTCGGAAGAACGAGTAGAATCAACAAGTTGCCAGTGTGGTGTAGTGTCAAGGTGCTGGACTAGGAATGGGAGACCCTGGTTTTAGTCCACCTTCAACCATGGAAGCTCACGGGGTGAGTTTGGGCCAGTCCTCCCCCTCAGCCCAGCCTATCTCACAGGGAGGTTGTTGTGGGGAGCTGTAGGTCTTGTACTGCCTTTAGATATAAGTGCACGCCAGATAAAACTATTAAGATATTCTCCAGGAGCCGTTGTTACCCTGTGGTGAATTCTTGTTCACATCCTGAATTCTTTAATCCCCAAAGTGGGGTCCAGTGGTTCCTCTTGTGCTTTCCAAAGAGAAAACGTGAACAAATGCTAGGAAGGGAGGGACAATAATTTCTACAAGAATCAACAATGCTCTGTCTTTAAATGTTCCTCCTGGACCTATCAAGAGTGATTTAATCCAACAAGCCCAGCTCCCCAGTTGCATCAACCAGAGGGCAAGTGAAAGAGAAGTGGTGGCAACAACTTTCTTTATGGCCGGAGCTGAGTGCTCAATTTTCATTGCTGCTCAGAAAAGAGCACACCACTCTTTTTCACTCACTTGCCAGTACTTTTTCTCTGGCTGGTGTAGCATTGGGATTTGGACCCAATGCCCTAATCTTTCCCAACTAATTACGTGGAGGAAACAGTGCCTTTTACTATATTGCCTTACTGAGCTCAAACTTAATCAGAATGCCCTGAGGGTGAACAGGTAGCCAGAGTTAAGAGGAAGAATGATATGAAGAAAGGTTTAAAAGTTGCTGTTGTTGTGTGGCATAAAGTGTGGGTGGTACACTGTAAGTGCAAGAGAGCTTAAATCCCCAGGGGATTCTCCTTGGATTGTGATGATTGTTATACCATAAGAGATAGTTAGACACCTATACTAGTGAACCATTCCAGCAGGGACCCCAGTGCCTCTGTTGACTAAGCAACAGAGCTTAGACTCAGACAGTAAGTCTGAGACTAGGCTTTTGTATGAAAAAGGCTTCTGCAGTGCTATCCTAAGCATATTTTTTTAGAAGTGCATAACTTTAATAGGAACCAGTCCATGTTAAATCTTGTTAAAGATTACAGTCTGAGCTTAGAAATAACTACTGCTGTATGCATAGGTTACACATTGCAATGCACATCACATGGGTTTTCATTCTTGTTGAATGCAAACTATTTTTTATTTCTTGGCAGATTATGTTGAATAGTAAAGTTATTTGTAGATGAAAAAACTAGAAAATGAATTTTTCTATTGTATCTATGTTTCCTTCAAAAATAATGTTTAATGTAGCAATGGGGAACTTTTATAAAATACTAAACAAGCATAATAATTAAAAATACTCAAAACCAGAATGGACATAAATGTGTTTGTGTGTACATAATTGTTTTTCAAAAAATGGGAAATACCATTTCCACAGGAAAAGCTGTGTAAGATTCCAATCTTATATCACTTACTTACCTGAGAGAAAACCCCTCGTAGGTAAGTAATTTAGATTAACATTTGAATAACATTCATAAAATTACATTATTGCAGCTGCTGTCTATTGCAGCAATCCCCCACCCCCCAAAATCTTATCACATATTAAAAAAAAATATATAAACTTTCATAGACTGGAACCCAGTTATATTATTCCTGAGACAATAGTGTAAAAATGTTTTATATTCTGCTTGGACTTTGCCTAGAGTCTTGGGAACTGGAAGAAGGGGTTTTTTTTGGTCAAGAAACAAAAGCAAACAAGTTACAGTTTCTAAAAAAACTTATCTGCTGGCTCCTTACAGAGGAATCTTGGTATGCGAGTGCTGTAAAATAAAATAAAAACAAGCTTAAGAGTTTACAAAAAGACGGTTTTGTCTCTATTCCATTTTTCTTTGAAACTCAGAAGTGGTTAATTGAGGTCAAAATATAATTAAAAAATACATGAAGCTGTAGAGAAAGCTCAATGTGTTGCTTAGGTAGTTCTTAGTTTGTAAACAAATAATATCTGGAATAATATCAGGTGTTAATATTTATGATGTGTCTAGGGCTGCAAACTTGCATTCCACATATGAGCAGCCTGTGAGTCCCATGTAATCTCCCCTCTGAAGTTTTTTCCTGCAGCCACTAGTGCAAGGAAGATGGGCAGGACATGACAGCTCTTCACACCTTCCTCCCCATGAGTGGCATGGGGAATTTCAAAGGGAAGGGTGCTAAGGCAGTCTATCTTAAGATACATCCTATTTTCTGGAGGTCCAAATCCATCAGCAGCTATCTTTTTTTTTCAAGTTGTTGCAAAGTGTTGAGATCAGTTCACAATGTACCATCCTGCTGCAACATGAAAAGATTGGTGGATTAGTATAGTAATCCCACCCTGGCATTAGAAAAGGAAGAGGAATTGAGTGTGTTCTTTGTAGAATATGTCTGACTCCCTCCTAAAGGTATAAATAGGGAATAGGTGACCAAAATACTAGGTTCCCCCCCCCCACTATTCTTCCCAAATGTTGTTTTATACCATAATGTAATCCCCCTCCCTGTTTTTAATGCTTTTCTGTTTTGAATTCCTTTTTGAAATTTTAAAATTTTGTGACGCTCCCCAGAGTAATTTTTGGAGTTGGAAGGCTTATAAATAGGATAAATAAATACAAATAAAATAAAAAATAAATTCTGGGATGACAGGGCAATAAGAATGTGCTCACTACCACAAATTGGATCTGAATCACTGAGAGTCTGCTGCAGCAAGCATTAAACTCTAACCTTGTCTTATCGATTGAGAGAAGAAAGTGCCACTTGCCTTGTGATAATAGAACATCTTGTGTTGGTAGATTCCTTCTCTTACTGTTTGTCATTGTATTAAGACTATTTTATTCTGCCAGGCTGAGGAATTTTATGTTACTGTTGTATCTATTTTCATGTTTACCTATTTTCATGTTTCATGTTTCTACCTTACTTGTGTGATAATATTGGTTCATTTATTTTTAGCTATGATTTAAGCAAATGAACTGAAAAAATGGACATAAATCTTTAAATAAGTACATATGCATCTTTTAAACTTGATGCCTCAGCTCTATTCTCATTTAAGAGGCCAGTCCTACAGTAATGATCCACTTCTGTTACTGTTCTGTGAACAAAACCCATGGAGATTACAACTCATAAGCTCTAAATGTTTGTTTTCACATTTCTGATAATTACATTGTAGCCTCTTCCTGATTGCAAAGTCCAGGTAGGTTGTAGCATTTGAAATTATGTTCTGTTCACCAGGCACCTAAATAAAAATAGGTGGATCACTGATTTTTGCATTTTAAAATTCCTGGTGTGAAGCACCATTTTATAATAGGTTACTAAAGATATTCCCAAACTTCGTAACTGTATATTTCCAATTTCTGCTGTTTGAAAAGTGCTAGGATCATGTGCAGAGCATTCAGGAAGCAGATTTATTTTTTACATTTCATAGTTGAAATATGTTTCACTAAAAGTAGAAAGAAAGAAATAGGTCAATTTGTTTCAGGATTTTGCCTTGATTAGAAAACTTTTTAAAGGAAGAAAAATATAAATGATTCCATTATAAGCAATATGTTGGCACTTCAGTTGTGATTTGAGATTTGATTGTGGGTCAAATATTGAAGAGGGATTTTAAAAATCTGCTTTGAGTACTTACTAAAGTAGAAAGGTAAGGTATAAATATAATAAATATTAATAAATAATTATATTCCTCTTATATTCTGGTTCAGAATGTACTCTGTTTATCAGACCAATCTATATTGAGGAAACCTTTTTGATAAATATTTCTTGAAATATGGATCATTGTTACTTCACTGTTGGAAAGTCTATTTAAATATTGCTGTCTTTACTCCAATTCATGGTGGAGTTACAGTTTTAGTTCCCACCATGATATCAAGATTGTTATTACACCTATAGAACTAAAGTTGCTTGGACTAAATTGATTTTTTGCACATGTTTCTAATAATATTTTCACACTTAAGACCCAGGCTTATTTAAGATAGTAGCTTCTTTGTTTACATATGTGATTAAAGGCTCTATTTTTTAAAAATCATGTTGTCTCTAGATACCATTATTCCATTATGCTGGGCAGTACTTGACCTTGCAGATACCTTTTCAAGATATCATAAAGATACTTCCTTAGGGATAAAACTTCAGCTTTAAATAAATGCGGAATATTTGAGCTGAACAAAATCGAAGAGAAATGGAAGATGGAAGTCATATTTCATTCTCCATGCTTGCATTTTTCTTATAGACTTTGCCCTTGAAACAAAGCATATCATGTTTTAAATCAAAATAATTTTTTACTTACATGCTGGAATAGAGAATGGTACAGATAGATTCCATCCCTGACATTTCTAAAAGATTGGGTGGCAAGATTAAGTTTATAGTCAAGGTTGATTTAAATGTTAGATTTAGCCTCCACTTCTGTTCCCATTGCATTTCTATCCCAAGTTTTTTTTTTTTTTTTTTGAGATGCACTTCAGAATGGCCAGTGCTAAAATGTGTTCCCATACAAGGACAGCTGTCAAGGTAAGGCTTTTTAGCCAGTCCAGTTTTCACAATTATTCTATAAATGCCTACAAAATATCTATATTTCCAATTAACCCTGAGTGGTTTCTGCTAGAGTTCATTGATAGGGAAAGCCTGCTGAGAGGTTATACAAGTTAATCTTTCAGAAGAAATTCAATCCCCATATTTTACTTTAAGACCACTCTGTGTAGCAAAGTAGTTTAACAAGTAGCAGATTTTTTACTTGCTGATAGTTAATTTCATGCCCTACAAAGGGTCAGCACACTAATATAGAAGAACATGATTACTTCACCTTAGCCTCCCCTCCCTTCTGCCCCCCACACACAGAGCACTGGCTGCTGAACTGTTTATTTTA